AACAAGAGCCATACTAGTAGTAACAAGAAGCTACTAGGAACAAGGGCCTACTACTAGGAACAAGAACGCTTTTAGGGGCTCCTGGCCGTACTACTAGGAGCAAGGGCCTTGCTACTAGGAACAAGATCGCTATTAGTTAATTTAATTTCGTTTTAATTTGATTCTATTAGCTTCTTGTTACTAGTAGTAAGGCACCTGTTACTACTAGCGATGCACTTGTTACTACTAGGAACAAGAACGCTACATGTTTCTTTTGGGGTCTTTAGGGTCGAATGATATCCCCCTTTTTCATTTTTGAGGACCCGTGTTCTCGGGTTTAGACCGTTCCTTTGCAGTGTTTTATTCTGGTTTAGACTCGTTTTGTTCTTTAGACGAGATTTTCTCTTTGGATGTTCTTGTTTGTTTAGAGGTTTTCTTTAGACATGTTTGCTTCATCATACTTTATGTATTTTTTCCATTAACATTATTTTTCTTTCGATACCTTTTTTTTGTTTCGACCCTTTTTCGATATCTGTTCTTTTCTTGATCCTATTTTTAAAGACATTTCTTCAGCTGCTTCCCTTTGGATAATTGTTCTTTAGACCTTCATGATAGACCTTCATGACGTGAACCTTTTTGGTTCGAAAAAAACATCGTTCGACCCCCTCTTTTGTTTCAGTTCATGTTCTTGGCCGGTTCTTTTTTTGCCGACCATATCTTTTCGTTTTTCCATGACTCCGCGTCATGAAGACACCTTCCGACCATATCGTTAGTTTAGGTCTTTTGGTGTCGGAAGGAATCTCCTTTGGGAGCTGAGGTGCCCTTCACTTGGCGCGAAAGAATTAGCGCGGCCTTTGATGCATCCTGCGGTGGAGCTGACGATTTCAGAAGACAAGCACCTTCTTTCTGTGTCATCTCATAGGCATGGATTGATTACTTGAACTAGCAGGCATCAAAAGGCTACAAGAGCATACAATATACTTGCAGCACATGTTTTCAAGAGATGTGTTCCTTACATTTTCTCATATTTTCACATAAAAATTCTTTTCATTCTGATTTCTGGCTCACTTGCAATCGCAGCGAATGGTTTCTGCCAGGCTTGTCACACCTTCACAACTCCACTCCCAAGGCCAAGTTGGATGTCCAAAGAGTTTTTTTTGTGCGACGAAGGCAACTGCACACCGTTGCCTTGCGGTTGCCTTGCGGTTGCCTTGTTTTCTTTGGCGCAAGAAGAGCTCGACTCTTCTCTGAATCCTTACAATAATATCTCTTGCCAACGGCCGAAGAATTTGCCGAGACTGGTGGTTGAGTGGTTGAGATCATCTTGCAGGTGCCGTGCACGTTTCGAACGAACCGTGTGGGCGGTTGAGGTCTTCCATCGAGATATCAAGTGCCCCAATATCTTGCTGGCGACTTGTTGGCACAGACCTTGAGGGATTCTTGGAGCGATCCCAAGCAGGTCGTACTAAGCCACTTACTGCAGTAAGCTACAGCGTTGCAAGTTCTTGCAAAGTCAGCCGCTTTAAAGACAAGTCAGAATGTGTTGTCAGTCATCAGCAAGCTGAGGACAGAAATGGAACAGCCAAGATGGCCGACTTTGCCACGGTCTCAGAACATGCTGCTGTGATTGACGTGTTGCAAGGCAGCTAATGGGTCTGAAGTGACAGTCCAGCTTTCACATGCAAGATTGCTTCTAAAAGTCCAAGACTGGTCATAGGTCGTGGCCTTTTCTCTGCAAGAAGGCTTAAGAAGGCCTCCCGATGCCAGCTGAGGGCCTTGCTTGTTGCTCCCATGCCAAAGAGCAGAAGGTGGAACAGGCGAAAAGGGTTTTGCAGCGAGCTCGTCTTGAGATGCACGTCCCATTGGTTCAAACCAGGTGTATTGCTCCGTTCGTAGTAAAGCCAGGAGCCCCGTTCGTAGCGTCCGATCGCTCCGTTCGTAGTAGTGTAGTGGGTAGGAAAGACAAAAACAACACATGAAATACAGTGAAATCCGGGCAGCCTACTTCCTTTTTCAGAGGCGGCTGGAACCGTGGGCTATGCCTGTCCACATTACGTCAACAAGGGCGTGGTGAGCGAAGGCAGCGAGGCCGGGCATACGTAGACACCTATGACGCTGTTCCTTGTAGCTTTCTCGCTGAAGAAGCGAAAGAAAGGTCTCAAAAATAGAAATACTTAAAGTCGAAAGTGAAAAAAACACACAGAAAAAGACAAGAATGCCAGGTTTTAAAGGTCTTCAGAAAAACAAACCGGGACGGAAAAGACGCTCATAAAGAAGAGTCCACATGTTGCAAGAAAAGAGAAAGAAAGACACAAAGAAAGAAAGACAAACGGAAAAGAAGGGAAGAGAAGAGAAAATATCGCCAATGTTAGAACATGAGTGTTAAAGGAGAAAGGTCCAAAGGTCTAAAGAACAAAAACGGAAGACATGGCTAGAGGTCTGAAGTAAAGGAACATGAACAACAAAGAAAGAGAGAAGTGACTCAAGGTCTAAAGAGCAGAAAAAGAACAACAGATTCCTAATAGCTTCTTGTTACTACTAGTAAGGCACTTGTTACTAGAAGCGAAGCACTTGTTCCTAATAGCTTATTGTTCCTAATAAAGAAAGAGACGAAGAACGAAAGTGCAACAAGCAATGTCTAAAGAAGAACAGGATAAAGAAAAGGACAAGACAGGTGAAAGGTTTTTAAGGAACCGGTAGCAACAATTCGCTGTACAAAGATCAAGAAAGGAAAGGCCTACAGGTCTAGAGAAGAAAAGAACGACCAACCGGCACCAAGAACGACATGTCGATCTCAACACAGGTCTCGCACATGTCGAAAAGTGCAAAGAGCAGGCAGCAAGCAAGAAAGGTCTACAACAAAGAGCAAAGATTTCTCGTGTAAAGGTCCAAAGAATCATGGATAAGAAACGAAAGACGGCTAGCGCAGGATGCCAGGGGCAAGGCTCAAACTTTCTGGAGATTTCTTTTCGAAGCAGAAGCAGCAGACGACACATATGGGCAATTATATTAAGATTTGGTATAATTGTTCGAATCAAAACGTGTAAAGTCATAGGACAGTGTGGAAATCAGTAAGAAGAGGGTCGTACCAGCTTGGGCACACCAAAGAGCTGATTTTATTTAAGCCCATCTCTGGGCTCAAATAGGGCCTAGGATGGGGCATCCTGTGGGAGGCCATTGCTACGCTAGTAGGTTGGAGGGCATCGCTAGTAGTAACAAGAAGCTACTAGGGGCTCCTGGCCGTACTACTAGGCACAAGAATTCTACTAGGAGCAAGGGCATCGCTACTAGGAGCACGGACGCTACTAGGGGCTCCTGGCCTTACTACTAGTAACAAGACGCTACTAGGAGCAAGGGCATCGCTAGTAGGTTGGAGGGCATCGTGTTGTGATTCTGTCGGCTGAGCGAAGAAGCACCGACGCTGTGAACAGGTCTACAGCTTCGGCATCGTCTTGCTGGAGCTCTTGACAGCACTCCAGCCTGCGCAGCTGTCTCAGGCACGTCCAAATTCGGACAAACACAATTGGCCCAAGGAAGACAACTAGTGGCTTCTTGTCACGAGTAGCGATGGCCGCCAACCTAATAGCGTATTGTTACTAGTATCTTCTTGTGTTACTCGTAGTAATGCCAGGAGCTACAGGAGCAGGAGCAGTTCTTGGTTGACTTTGGCCTTCCCAATCCTATCCTGCTTTCACCAAATCAAGCCAACGGAAGCCACGTGCCAGCAACCAAGCCAAAGGAAGGAGCCCTGTAAATCGAGCGAACTTTCAGGATGTCTAAAGTGTGAATTCACCACCAGATCTTCTCAACTGGGCAAGTTTGGAAGGAATCGTCGTCGGCAACAGATCGTCCTCTCCATATGTGCATGACCTCACGCAACGACACGGGGTGACGTGGGCGACTATTTGATTCTTTCTTCTCTCTCCTCTCTCTTCTCTCATTTTGTGTTTAAAATAGGTTCTTTTCCTGAGCTCAATCATTCCACCACAGTTTTTGTCGCCAAAAGCGGTTTTTCGGGTCTCATGCGCCGTTCAGCATCCACCTCTGTGGAAGATGCTGGTGATGCTTCCTAGAGTGCATGGCATATTTGGCACAGCAAAATGCCAGATAAACGTTGCAAGATCCAATGTGTATTTTTTTCTTTCGTAGCTGGATAGCGAGACACTACGCTGCCGAGTAGCAGCAGCAGCAGTAACCCAATAACAGCAGCAGACCTGCAACAGAATATCGCATGGCAGCAGCTTTTAGCAGCATACCAGCAACAGGTGTTTTGCATCCGAAACAAAACTGTTGAACCCAAACAACAATCCCAATCATGATTGTCAGATTGTCCCACAATTTTGACTAGAGGCACGCACTCGCTTGAAACATAATATGTTAACGACAAATTTTTTGTGAACGTTTGGCAATTCTACTTGCCTGTTGTCCACCCTAGCATCCGGTAAGTAGTAGTGGCAATGGTGGTAGCAGTAGCAGTACTAGAAACTAGTAGTAGTACCAATGATGCACTTACTATGATTGTGACTACGACCATTACAGTTGTAGCTAGTGTTGCTCCTGCTATTTTGGTATATGCCAAAGCACTGCAATTTGCTGTGAAGCTAGGTTGGAGGCCGCTAGGTTGGTTGCAGCGACACAAAAGCACAATGCTGCGCCATATGCTGAAGCCTGACTTCTCAGGGGCCTGATGGCAAAGAACAGTACCATTTCCTGGTGACCCACCTGGCCTCCGAAGTCCGGCTCGCTGTGCAAAATGCCGATCAGAAGGCGTGAAAGAGAGAGGAACAGACGGAGTAACAGAGGGAGTGAAGCAGATGGGTCCTTTTCGTATGCCAAAAGACTTCCAAAGCACCCCGTTTACAAGTCCTAGAAGCCTTCAGTGTTCAAATCTCCTGAGTACAAGAACGCCATACCGCCTCGCAGCAAGAATTCCTTTCAACAGTAGTTGCAAACTGTGCTGGCAAGAGTGCATCCCTGAAAGCTCTTGGGCCCCAAACGCACAAATGACCGGTTGATGGTTTCTTCGCCTCTCGTCGTCACTACCCATTCATGCAAACCAGTGAGCATAAAAAGGCTGTCTAGATCTTTCTAGTATGTGCATTCTTTTAATGCTTAAACTCCTTGTTCCTAGTAGCTTCTTGTTGCTAGTAGCGATGCCCTTTGTTGCTAGTAGCTTCTTGCTCCTAGTAGCAAGGCCAGGAGCCCCTAGTAGCTTCTTGCTCCTAGTAGCGATGCCCTTTGTTACTAGTAGCTTCCTTTCTTTCCCCTTTTGCAGGCGCACTGGCCTCACGAGGTTGCAGCAAGCTTTGGGCAACTGGGTCTTAACTGTACAGAGTACCAAGAGGAGACGAGAAACTCAAAGACCCAGTGCATTTCTGAAAAAAGGTACCAACAAGTACAATAAAGTATAAAGTACGGAGTGAAGAACGTGTCTTGTTTTAGCAGCCTCTGTGTTTGGTTGTCAAGACCGATACCACCCTGTTCAAAGAAAGATGACTGCATTTTACCAGAAGCAGAAAACAACTCAAAGAATCAAGACATAAGGAACAGAAAAAACTATTTTCGAGAGAAACTGGAAAGAACTCCTTTTTTGTTTCGATCGAAAGAACGGTTTTGATCGAAGTCTGGCGAGGAGAACCGCCCATGTTTCACAGAAGTTGTGACTGCTCTTCGGTCGCTGCGGGATATAGAGGCAGTCCAACTCCGGCTTTCAGAGAGGACGCTACTAGGAGCAAGGGCATCGCTACTAGTAACAAGCACCCTACTAGGGGCTCCTGGCCTTGCTACTAGGAGCAAGGACGCTACTAG